CCCCTGTCCTTCTCACACACACGTGGAGAGTGCACAATCAGTGAGGGGTGAGTGGAGGGAATTGTGGTCCTGGTGAGGGGCAGAGGAGGGCACTTCTGGGCCACAGCTGGGGGCCAGAAGCTTTTGGAAAATGTTTCCAGTCAGAGAGGAGGGAGTGGGTGAGGTGGGGGTTGAGGCCAGAGGGGAAGCTGTGTCAGGGACAAGAAAGGCCTCTGCATGGCCCGGAGGACTCTGTGGAGGCCTCTGCCCTCCTGGCCCTCCCCCAGCCTCCTGCAGGTGTCCGAGGCAGCGGGGGCCCTGCGGGCGGGGGCATGACCCTTACAGCAATGGTGGCTGGCCCTGTCATAGCTAATGACCCTGATGGCCCAGGCTGGGTTGGAGGTGGGGGTGCGTAAAAGGAGGGAAGGCAGAAGATGCGTGTGTGTGTGTGTGTGTGTGTGTGTGTGTGTGTCTGTGACTTGGAGGTGAAGTGTGTGTGGGGGTGTCTGGGGGTGAGACCCTAACCTCCCACACCTCCTCCAGCTTACAGGACCGTGTGCAGCGTTAACGGGCCCCTGGTGGTGCTGGACCAGGTCAAGGTAAGATTCCTTTGCCTCTTTCCTGGCACCAAGGCCAAATCCCAGGGCTCCTGGAGAGATTTCTTCTGAATTTCCCTTCCCCGATGGCTTCCCTGGGTCTACCCTTCACTCACCCCCCACACTCACATTCCCTAGCTGTCTCCCCAGTCATCCAAGACTCCCCTTCCTGCCTCTTCTTTCCTTTATTTATTTATTTTCAAGTATTTTTGGTATAGGGATGTGTGCTTGCAGGAGACAGAGAAAGTGAGAGCACCCTTCCACACACCTGCCCTCCCACCCCCACACCCCCCAGAAGCCATACCACAATCCCTTCTGCATTCTCCTCTCAGGATTTTGGACGCACACATGCCTGCGTGTTTCTCAAGCCATCAGGCCCAGGAATCACACAGTTGGCCATGTGACATCCAGCACCTTCGCCACCTCACTACCTGCTGGCCTCACCCCTTCCTGCCTTTTCAGTGGAGATTGTACGCACAGACCTGGGCCTTGGGAAACCCCGTGGAACCAAGTCTACTGAGCCTTGCTTTCTTGTCAGTGGAATGACCACCCCGCTTCCTCCAGGGGAAGAGGAGGCAGCAGGTCACGGCCTGCTAACATTTCTCAGGAGCTGACTTGTGAGGGCCTTCAGGGCAACTCAGTCTCAGAATAGCACCACGTTGGGAAGTGAGGCAGGCCCCATGGAAGGTTCATGGGATGTTCATGTCCCTTGAGGAGCTGTAGGGATGCAGCAGACACCAGCAGTTTGAGTTCTGGGGTTGGGGATTCTTGAGTTGTAAACAGCCCTGCAAACAGACAAACAAAAACAACAACAAAAAACCCCACTCCACTCGGGACCAGCAGATGGCTTAATGGCTATTTCACTGGACTCCCTTGTAGCTGACCACAGTTTGAGTCCAGGACCCGGTGGCTTAAAGTCACGCCAGGCATGTGTGTGCATGCATGCCCAAGATCCCGAGAGGAGAATGGAGGAGAAGGGATTGCAGGTGGCCATCCCCCCTGGGGGGTGATTTCTCGCTTTCCATCTCTCTGTTTCTCTGGCAAGCGCAAGCGTCCTATAGCAAAAACCTCTCAAAAAGAAAGAAAAAGTCACCCCACTGTTCTTCCACTGACCAGTTCCAACCCCCAGCCTCCCACCCATTCCTGAGTGGAGCAAACTGGAAACCTGGATGCTGCCTTGACCCCATGTCTGCCAGGGCCTATGCTCTCCAGTTCTCTGCCTGCCCCACTGTGCCTTTGCTATGTGATGGCCTAAGAGGGGCCCCCAGCCTACACCCTCCTGTCCTCTCTCCACCCTGCAGCCAGTCAGACTCACTTAGGGCCACCCAGTGCTGCGGCCTAACTGGGCTGTTCTACCACTGCTCGCCTCCCCACTCACTCCCATCACTCTCCCTTCCCCATTCAAGGCAGAGCTGCCACCTGGTGTCCCACAAGGGCCTTGGCACACACTTCTCCCTCTGCCTCTTGGACTACCCTTCCCTCACGCCTTCCCTCACGCCTTCCCTCTGACTCATCCCCAGGGCTCGCTGAAAGGTCGCCTTCCCAAACCTCCTCCAGCCTCCTGGGTGCTGGGCTTCCCGTAGTCCTACCGCAGGCTACCGCAGGCTACCGCAGGCAGCGTGGTCCATCCAGGCACTTGGCCATTGTCTGGCTACATATCTACCTCCCGATCCCCACCCACCCCCCGCCCCCGTGCGGTGTTTTGGGTACCTTCAGTGTTTTGTTAATCCTTAGCTCCGGGCAGAGCAGAACACAGCACCATTACTGAACATCCAGGCTACCGTGGGTGCTCAGCACGTTTGGCCAAAGGAAAAGTGAGTGAATTAATGGGAGGAATGAACCAATATGTATTAACATGAACAGAGGTGGACCCGTCAAACCCGAGCTATCTATGTAAGGAAGTCAGACACAGGCACGGCGGGAAAACAGATTCCGAGTATGGACAGCACTGGGCAGCCCACTGGCAAGGGACGCCCTGGGAGACAGCGCAGTGAGGTGCTGCGGTCAGGTGACGACCCCCACTCCCACCCATCCCACTCCTAGTACTAGCTCCCGCCAACCCCAGAGAGCATCAGCACCCTCTGGGAACCTGCTAGAACTACACATTCCTGCCCCCCCTAGCCTGACAGAAACTTCTCACAAGCGAGTGATCAGATGCGCCCGGGAGCCTCAGGACGTCTTAGATCTAGGATTGTAAATCCCAGTTTCGTATCCATTATGACGATAGGGTTGTTGTGAGAATCAAATTTGCTAAATGTACAACTTCAAGTTAAATTTTTTTCTTTCTTCTATGAGTGGGCAAGCCACAGGGTCCCAACCACAGGGTCCCGATGCCACAATCCATCCCAGCGAGCCCCAATCGTGTGCACACGTGGGCCGGGTGTTTTCAGGGACTTCTGACGCTAACTCCCGGTGTGGGTCAGCGCGCGGAGCATCGCATTGCTGCCGTGCGCCACCTTCTGGCTTTCTGGATAAACGCACTGCTATCCCCCACCCCACACCAGCCACAGCTCTGCCTGGAATGCAGAAATGCTAATAAACCCGATTAAACTGCTGGTGCTATCTCCTGCCCCCGCCTTCACCTGCCGCACTCTCCATCACACCTGTCAGTCTAGACAGGAGCCAATGCAGGAAGGATAGCGCCTCGCAGGCGACCATTTTCTCAACTGTGAAACGGGGCTGGACCAGGAAACCAGAGCTGGACGCCCTGATCCACGGTTCCATGATGATTAGATGCATCTGTGACTCTGCAGAGCGAAATAACTGGGTGGTGGGACAGCCAGAGAACCCTGAGCTTGCTGAGGAATAACAGGAATCGGTAGTTTACAGTCTCCTGAGTTCAGAAGGCACCTCTGTGCCTCTCTGCTGCCCATACCTTTCTCCCTCTTCCAGAGTTACTTGGGCGAAACGCCACAATTCTGTCTCTACAGCGCCACCTACTGGCCACACTGAATCACACAGGGAATTAATGACGCTGCTCCCATTCTTCTCAAAGGGAAAAACGTGTTGGGGAATTCTGTGTGTTTGTAGAGCAGAGGTTCGTAACCCAGGGAAGAAAGCCCTTGAAATTGTATGCAGACCGTTAGAGGTATGTATGCATGCACAGCGTGTTTCTGGCTGATAGGGCCAGGGATTCAAACCACGATCACCATTGTGGCATCTGGCTTCTCTTCAGCAGGGCCCTAGAGTGGGACCCCGCTTTGGCTTAGAACACAGACTTGTTCTCCATTTGTTCAGGCTTTGTTTTATGTCCTTCAATACCATTGTATTCCTTTCTTGTAATATGTATTTCCAGGTGTTTCATAGGTTTGGCACTGCTATGGATGGGATGTTTTTATTTGTTTCCTCTAACTGGTTAACACTGGAATAGGAAAAAAGCAGATTGAGTTTATATTGTGGTGGTGGTGGTGGTGGTGATGGTTTGTTTTGTTTTCTTGTATAGAGGTTTTTGCCTTAGGGCACATCTGCTCTCTGGGGAGAGAGAAAGAGACAGTGATCTCAGGAGGGGATGATCACACCACAATCCTTTCTCCTCCATTCTCCTCCCAGGATCTTGGGCACACACGCACACGTGCCTGGCGTGAGTTTCAAGCCACCGGGTCCAGGACTCGAACTGTGGTTGGCCATGTGAGAGTTCAGCAGTGTAACTGCTACACCATCTGCTGGCCCTGTTGTTGGTGGTAGTTTTTTGTTGGTGATAGTTTTTTTTTTTTTTAAGAATCATTTTATTTAACTTTGTTTATTTATTTTAATTTGACCAGAGAGGGGGAAAGAGAGAGAGAGAGAGAGAGAAAGTGAGAAAGCAAGCTGCCAAGTCCAAGACTCGAACTGTGGTCAGTCACGTGGGAGTCCAGCATCCTTCACCATGCCACTTGCCAGCCCCAGTTGGTGGTAGTTTTTAACCAGAGCCTCTTGGGCTTTTCTAAATGTACAATATCATCTGAAATAAGGTGATTATGTCTCTCTTATCAGCATACTTACATTTTATTTTGAGTAATTTCAGTTTGGGGGACAGTCAGTGGCATGGTGGTTAGGGTGGCTAGATCTCACATGACTGAGTGCGCAGTTGAGTCCTGAGCCTGGAGGCTTGAAAAACACCAGGCACATGTGTGTGCATGCCCAAAATCCCAAAAGGAAAACGGGAGGAACAGGGATTGCCCTGTGACCATTCTCCATTGGAGGCCTTTCTCTCTTTGCCTCTTTCTCTCTCTTTTTCTCTGTCTCTCTCTGTTCAATGTGCATACCCTCTAGGAAATTAAAACACAAACACACATCTAGACATAATTTCAGTTTTATAAAAAATTGAAAAATTTAGGGCCAGCAGGTGGCGCGGTGGTTTAAGTTCTGGACATACCCACATGCCCGACCACGCTTCAAGTCCTGGACCTGGTGGCTTGCTTTCTCACTTTCCCTCTCTCTCTCTGTGTGTCTCTCTCTGGTCAAATTTATTTATTTATTTATTTATTTATTTATTTGGAGACGTTTTTGCTATAGGTCGTGTGTGCTCGCCAGAAAGACAGAGAGAGACAGAGAGACAGAAAGGGAGAAATCACACCCCCCCAGGGGGGATGGCCACGCTGCAACCCCTTTTCCTCCATTCTCCTCTTGGGATCTTGGGCACACACACACACGCGCCTGGCATGAGTTTAAGCCACCAGGTCCAGAATTCAAACCATGGTCGACTACATGGGAGTTCAGCGACATAGCCATTATGCTAACTACTGGTCCCTCTTTCTGGTCAAGTTAAAATGAAATGATGAATGAATGTATAAATAAATCATTCTTTTTTAAAAAATTTAAAGATAGAAACATCCACATTTCATCCCATTTGTTCTATCATTTGCTCAGAGTGTATGGGGGAATGTGTGTGTACATAATTTTTTCTAAATCTTTTGAGGTTAGACTATGCCCAAATATTCCTGTGTATTTCTGAAGAATACAGATATTCTCTTACATAACCACAGTAGAATGATCAGCTTCAGAAATTTACACTAATACAATACCTTTACCTAATCTACCACTCAAATTCCAATTTATCAGCCAGCCTGTAAAGGTCTCTGAGCACATTCAGGCTGACCAGACCGGAGATTCAAACCACAGCCCCTTCCAGTGTAGGATTCAGCCTAGGATGGTGTGTTTAATCATCACGCCTGCTTAGTTTCCTACAGTCTGAAACATTCTCACAGGCTTTGACATTTCTGAAGATATGGTCCCCCCCACTCCACCCCACCCCCCGTCTTTCTTTAACAACAAAATAGAACATTCTCTGTTTAAGTTCATTCGGGTATATTCTTCTTTTTCTTATTTCCATCGCCAGTTGGTGCATGCCCTCGCCAGAACAAGATGGAGAAGCAGAGGTGGGGGTGGGGGGGGCATCCCTCAGTGGGGTGTGGTCACACTGCCATCTCCTCCATCTCACCATCCCGTTGGGGTTTCCAGGCATGTGTAAATTAACCCCAGCCCCATGGCTAGGAAAAGACTGCCACTGGTACTTGGGGCCCTGGCAGCAGGGGGACTTTGTCCTGGTACCCTGCAGAAGCGCTTTGCCGGTGTGTTTATCACTAGTCCATGGGGCAGAAACCACTGGGCTTTCCAGGAGACCGCGACAGCCACAGTGATTACTATGTCTTGTGGAGTTTTTCCAAGATGCTAGGCACCCTGCTACTGGATTCATGTATAGTTACCCCATTTTCTTCTCCACAGCTGCCCCAGAAAGCGGATGTTATCATTATTATCCTATTTTATGGTAAAGGAACCAGGGACACCTCATGATCACCTGGTGTCTCTTAGCTTAATCTTTTTTGTTGTTGTTTATTCTGCTATAGGGACATGCACTCACTTGGGGCAGAGAGAGAGAGTGAGAAAGTGCTCTGCCAGGGGGGACAGTCACACAGCAATCCCTCTCTTCCATTCTCCTCTTGGCAGGTGGCTTGCTTTCTCACTTTCTCACACATGAACACATATGTGCCAGTTTTTTGTAGTTGTTGTTTTTGGAGAGGTTTTTGCTATAGGGCGCGTGCACTCGCCAGAAAGACAGAGAGAGACAGAGAGACAGAAAGTGAGAAATCACCCCCAAGGGGGGATGGCCACCTGCAATCCCTTCTCCTCCTTTTTACTCTTGGGATCTTGGGCACACATATGTGCCTGGCATGAGTTTAAGCCACCAGGTCTGGGACTTGAACCGCGGTCGACTACATGGGAGTCTAGCGACATAGCCATTATGCCAACTGCTGGTCCTGTTTTTGTTTTTTAATGTATGCTGAAAACCATCAGCTATTCATTCTTTTCTTTTTACTTCTAAATTTTATTTATTCATTCATTTTCTTTTAAAATTTTGACCAGAGAGAGATGAGAGAGAGAGAGCTAGTCACCAGGACCAGGACTTGAACTGTGGTCAGCCATGTGAGAATGTCCAGCGCCCTAACCACCACACCACTGCTGGTCCTGCTGGGTGTGTTTTTTAAGCCAATGAGTCTGGAACTCAAACCAGCAGTCAGTCATGTGAGATCCTGTCACCTTAAGCACCCCACAACTGGCTGGCTCTATTTCCATTTTAAAGATGAGAAAACTAAGGCTTATTACTTAATGACTTAAGTAACTTATTAAGTACTTATTAAGTCATTAAGTAACTTCTACAAGGTCACACAGCTATGAAGCATTGGAGTTTCAATTCTAACCTGGTCTTCTAGCACTGAAGTCCACACTCCTAGTCACCCAGGTACACTGACTCCCAGCAGAGCTCAAACTTCTGCTTGCTAGCCTCTCAAGTGTCTGGGCACAAGAGGGGAAGCTAACAGCTTGAAGATTGGCCAAGGAGGAATGGGGAGGAGATGGGACTCTGCCTCTGGTCTCACTGCTGCTCTGAACTGCTCTCCCCCTGCCAGTTTGCCCAGTATGCAGAGATCGTCAACTTCACCCTCCCTGATGGGTCACGAAGGAGTGGGCAAGTGCTGGAGGTGGCTGGGACCAAAGCAATTGTTCAGGTAAGAGTTGGGTCTGAGTCCATTTTATGCAACATGACAGAATACCACAGACTGGGCAACTTATAAAGAGATGAGGTTTATTTGGTTCACGGTTCCAGAGGGAGGGAAGTCCAAAATCACAGGGCTGTATCATAGCATGTTGGGTGACTCCAAATGAATACAAAGCACAGAGAACACGAGGGTCAAGCTTTTTCTTTCCTTTTCTTTTTCTCTTCTTCTTTTTTTTTTTTTTTTTTTAATTTGCCAGAGGGAATGTGCACTCTCCAGAAAGACAGAGAGAGAATGAGGGAAAGTAAGAAAGCACCCCTCTCATGGAGAATAATCACCCCACAATCCCTTCTCCTACATTTCTCCCTCTCTTTGGGATTTGGGCATGCATGCACACATACCTGGTGTGTTTCTCAAGTTGCTATGTCTGGGACTAGAACCATACAGTCTGCCACATGGGATCCAGTCATCTTAACTACCACACCACTAGCTGGTCCTGAACATTTCCTTTTATCAGGAGCGCATTCCTATGGTAACTAATCCATTAGCATAATAACAGCATCAATCTGTTCCGAAGGGTGTTTTCATGATCAAATAACCTGTTTGAGATTCTGCTTTTTAGTACAATTGCAATGGTAGTAAGTTCCCAGTGCATGAACTCTGGGGGAGAGATTCAAACATAGGCTGGCACTGATGGGATGCAGGCTGGCTGAATAAGAGAATGATGCACAGTTCCCACACAACCTGACAAGCTCTGAAGGCAAGAAGTTCCCCATCCCCTGAGAGCACCTTGCCCAGAGCTGGTGCTAGAATGGGAAGCCTCAACTTTCCCAGCAAAACCCTTGTTGGAGTAACCACCTCTTGTCCCCATAGGTATTTGAGGGGACCTCTGGGATTGATGCCCAGAAGACCACCTGTGAATTCACAGGGGACATCCTACGGACTCCGGTGTCGGAGGACATGCTGGGTGAGAAAAGGGGTAGGGTGGGGATGCTCCTCTGTCCCTCAGCCCCACTTCTCCAGCCAAGACCTGAGCACACTACCCCGTGTGTCTGTTTCCCTGTCTGTCTCCCCATGAGCTCTTTGAAGTTAGAGGTGTGTCTTTTTCCCACTCTGGTCTCTGACCCCAGTTCAGGGCCTGACATACGGCAGGTGATTGGACTGAAGGAGGTCTTATGCAATAAATGAGGAAGGCAGATTGAAGAAACTGAGGCACGGTAGTTTGAGGTCTGGCTGAATGAGACTGCTAAGCCCAGCATATCCCATGACGCTCTCTCAAGACCTGCCATACCTCGTTGGGGCCTCCCTTCTTTCCAGCCTGAGATTCCCCTATTAGGGTCATAGTCCTAAGCCAGGGCTTTGCCCATGAATGTTTCCAGGAAAGGAAGGAAGACTCCCGAGGGGGCATTCATTGTAGCTAGTTCTCTGGGGTACACAGGACAGTGAGGGAACAGGGTGTGGGGGAGCCTGAGAGACATAGGGCTGGTCCTGAGCATCCTTCAATCCCCTCACCCACTCTCAGGTCGGGTTTTCAATGGCTCCGGCAAACCCATTGACAAGGGTCCCGTGGTCATGGCGGAGGACTTTCTGGATATCAATGGTGAGTGTCTGGAGGCTCTGTGTGGCTTTCAGAACCCAGCTTCTACCCGCCCCACTCATCACCTTGCCACCTTGCCCTTGGTAGTTCTTCCAGATGCAGACCCTGAGCAACTGCCCAGGACTCACCCTCATGGTGGGTCAGACTCAGATCGGGTATGATATGAGAGCAGTGAAGACCTCGCTGTCCCCAGATCTGCCAGTGAGCCCAAACACCACCTTCAGCACTCTGTCCAGTTCCTGTAAAATGCCATTGTCATTGCACAGTGCTCCTTGTGGGCCCCAGGGCCATCACTCTCCTGCCCTCAGGTCCCTGTACCTGGTCCTGAGAGCCGGTCCTTGGGCTGAGGTGGCTTGTAGAGGCAGACTCGCCCCTCCTACACTCTCTCCCACTCATGTAGGAAGCCTTCTTGGGTCCCCCAGCCCTACCCCCTCATTCACTAAGGACACAAGGGAGGCCACAGAGACCCCTGGGCTTGTCCAAGGTCACACAGGAAGCCAGTGGCAGAGCCCAGAGCACCTGCATCCCCCTCAGATCCTCTGAGCCCTGCAGAAGTTATCTGTAGGTGGTGAGGAAGGCTCTGCCTGGAGCCCAAGGGACCTCAGCCTGACTTCCAGCCTGTCTGCCAAGGGCAGTGCTGTCCAAGGTAGCAGTCGGCCTGTGGTCATTTCAGTGGAAACCAATTCAAACAAATGAACATCTCATTTCCCGGCCCTGTTTGAGGAGCCCCGTGTGCTCAGGAGCTCTGCGTGGCTAGGGTGACACGGGGCAGCGCAGTCAGGGCATTTCCACCATCGCTGAGAGCTCTGGGGTGGGGCAGGGCTGGGAAGGGCAGGGAACGGCCTGCAGCCCTGAGCATGGCCTGTGGTCACCCCTCCCAGGTCAGCCCATCAACCCCCATGACCGCATCTACCCCGAGGAGATGATTCAGACAGGCATTTCTCCCATCGATGTCATGAACAGCATCGCCCGTGGGCAGAAGATCCCCATCTTCTCGGCAGCCGGGCTTCCCCACAATGAGGTAAGGCCTGCAGGCACGAGCAGTGGGGTGGGCAGAGCCGGGCTGGGGCTGCTGGGCCAGCAGGGAGGGCTCCCGTGACCAGCTGGTAGGGCCTGGCAGAGCGAGGTCACCAGCACCAGACGGGCAGTTGTCTCCGGGGAGTTCAGGGACTCAGGGCTGCATAAGACCTCCTTCAGTCCAATCACCTGCCCTGAGCAGGTCTTCCAGCAGCCTGAGTGAGTGGGGCACTCCCTGGCTCCCGGGGCCCCTGTGCTAGGAGTTGTGCTTCGCGAGCGAGCTCACTGGTCCTTGTCCTGCTCTGCACCCAACCCACCCACTCCGCCCCCCCAACCAAGGTGACCAGCCTGGCCCCTCTCAGAGCCAGTGTGATGAGGTTTGGAGACACTTCTCCCAACCATCTTGCACCCTGATGTGCCCCAGCTCACCCCCAAATAGCCTGAGAGATCTGAGAGCCCCACTCCGTGGTCTGGGCCTGGTGTCTGGCAGCCCCGCATCGCAGGCCCGGGGCTCCTCTGCTGGATAACCCCCAGTGGGCTACGGGGAGTACCGAAGGGGGTCTGAGAGGGCCGACTGCCCTAAGCCACGCTGCCCAAACCTGTGCCGAGGCGGATGCTCTGGGACAGCTCTGCCCAGCTCCTCACAACAGGCTCCCTCAGCCCTGCAGTAGCCAAGGACTGTCCCAAGAGTGACTGTGCAACCTGGGGCAGCCCCTTCCCCTCTCT